AGAGACATAACAGCCTCAGAAATCGTGTGTGTGATGCCTTTGTCACACATGGAAAAAGCTAAAAAGTCTACATCTATTGCTAGATAAAATAGATTGATCTATATGATGGGGTGCCCCTTTTGCCTGATGGGCATATTTAAGAATATGTATCAAATCAAGGGTTAATATAGAGATGCCTGCAGAGCAAGAGAGCAGGTTGCAGCCATCACGATGCTAGGTCTAGAAAATGGTGGTTGTAAAATTCTGGTAGACGTGAGCCAGAAACAAGTTTTCTTCTAAGACTGATGGACTGTAAGGAAGTTAGACTGCATCTGAGAGCCCTTTCTCATGTGTCGATGTGAGTGAGCTCTCTGAGCATGCTCAGAAGATTGGGGCTTAGTGGAATTGGCATAAAAATCATTGTAGGCCCTGCACTTCCATGTAAGGGAATGGGAGAGAAGTGACCTTTTCCCCCATGCTCATGAGGGGGTGTTGCTGAAGAACAAAGTTCAAGCTCTGAGGGATCAGAGTGGAAAAAGCTGTAACTCATAAATCAGACTTAAGCTTCAGTGAAGTCAGGCCACTGAAGTTACATTGAGGGTCTGCAGACAAAACGGACAGATTTTATCTGCAAGCAGCGTCATCACCGGTCAATACTGTGGCCTCTTTCTCTTCTTTAAAGCTTTAATATCAGAGCAGTCAAAGCCCCTGACCACCCCCCTCAAATTGCTGCAAGTTAATAATAGAACAGTCAATAGTTAGCACAGGCTTGAAAGAGCCTTTGCTCTTTGATAGCCTAGCATGTGGGGTGGGAAGCAAAGTGTTTATTGTATCAGGTTTCAGCAGCATTTGGAGCAATAGTCATTTTCCAGAAGGCTGATGGCCAACTCTCCTTTTCTGCAGGTGCAATTTGCTTATACCAGGGACTGGGGCAATCGGCACAGAACCTAAGTTAGCCTAGCTCACTGAAGTTACTCTGTACACACTGGTGCTGCACTCACCTGTGTGTGTCAGTAGGACTTCAGGGGGTATATCCAGTGATGAGCTGTCAAAATCTTAACAACCGGTTCCCTCTTCACCCCAGGAGGGGGTCGTGGCCCACCCCCTGGGACCCCTGCCACATCCACTCCCACCCCTGTCTCCTTACTGCCCCCAGAACCAGGCAGGAGGGTCTCGTGGGTCACCGTAGTGGGTGCCCATCACGCCCTACCCCTAAGAGCCAGAGGGACCTGTCGGGGGGCGAGGTGGGGAGTCCCAGCGGTGCTTACCTGGGGTGGCTCCCAGGAAACATCCGGCAGGTCCCTCTGGCTCCTAGGGGTGGGGGAGCAGCCGCTCCCCCCACCGATCACATCAAAAGTGGCACCTTAGGCACCAACTCCGTGGGCGCTCCAGGGATGGAGCACCCACAGGGAAAATTTGATTAAACAAAGCACCCACCGGCAGTTCCCCGCCCTGTGCCTGGCCCCAGCTCACCTCTGCTCCGCCTCCTCCCCTGAACGCGCCTGCCCCGACCCCCCCAGTTTCTCGCAAATCAGCTGTTCGGTGGGAAGCCTGCGAGGGCTGAGAAGCAAGTGGTGGCTTCGCGCTCAGGCCCAGGGCGGCGAAGGTGAACTAGGACACAGAGCGGTTGCCCTGCGCACCCCCCTGGTTACCTGCTCCGGCGCAGATGGCCCTCCTCGCGCCCCCTCGCCCCCCTCTGCTCTGCCTCCTCCTCCCTGGGCCTGAGTGTGAAGCTGCCGCTTGCTTCTCAGCCCTCCCAGACTTTCCGCACAAACAGCTGATTCACAGGAAGCGGGGGGGGGGCGGCGGGCAGAGAAGCAGAGTGGGGTGGTGCGTTCAGGGGAGAAGGCAGAGGCGGAGCGGGGTGAGGTGAGCTGGGGCCAGGCGAGGAGCTGTCGGTGGGTGCTCTGCACCCACCAAATTCTCCCCGTGAGTGCTCCAGCCCCGGAGCACCCACGGAGGTGGGGCCTAAGGCGCCACTTTTGGCCGGTTGTTAAATTTAGAAGCCTTTTTAGAACAGGTTGTCCCTCGCAGGACAACAGGTTCTAAAAGGGCTTCTAAATTTAACAACCAGCTCCAGCTCACCACTGGGTATATCCCATAGTTGTTTTGTGCTCATTAAGCTGACCTGCCCTTTGATTCTTTTCTAGTGAACTGTGGGAGCACTTGTTTGTCTTCTGGGCACACAGGGAATTGTGGGAAGACACTGAAGGAGTATCAGCACTCAAGTGATTTAGCCTGCATCCTCATTCCAAGGTGGGCAAGTTACTAGCCCAAATGAAAGCAGAACTGGGGTTCTAACCTGTATTCCCACCTGGGCCAGCTAGTGAAGACGTACCCCCAAGGCTCAGTCTGTTCAGATTTATCTAAGCACTACACCCTCCTCCCTTTCACTGTTTGCTTCAGTTGGCTCTGCACTGCCCAGCGGATTTCAAAATGAAACTTTCTGAGTTCATGAATTTCTCTTTGTAGTGGAGCTGGTGGCAGAATAAAACAGCACAGGAGAACTGGGAAGAGCAGCTCTGCTACTGACCCCTACTAAAAGGAAGTTTTACAAATCCAGACTATAAATAGACAAGCACAATGCTTATGGGACATATTTATTTGAACAAGAGTTTTATAACATAGGAAATCATGAAATATTTCTGACTCTGCACCAGCACAATATATGAATGGATTTATTGCTACCATCTACGTGCAGTTCAGCATCAAAGCAAAGATTTAAAGTGACTCTCTGCAATTTTATGACAAAGAAAATACTGTAAATATAATAAGGGAATTATTCTCTAGGGATCTAAAAGTATCTTGAAAAGAAAGGTTTGTGGGTGTATTCACAAAAGTTACCCAAAGTTTAAAAACAAAATCAAAATGGTCTTTAGCACCCAATCCACCTGAAACTGTCAGCAGTCTTGGACGCTGTAGTTACTGGTTTTGAAGCCACAAAAAGCTTGGCCTGCCAGGGAAACGAAGATCAGTAACTCCACCAGTAGGTGCAGAAATAAGAATCTGGATTTGTCTAACTCATAGTTCCCTCTCTGCTTGAACCTGCACTATCCTTGAAGAACTGTCTGTGTGACTGCCCTTTGGCTTTCTCCAAATTCTAAACTTAGCTGCCTCTTCCTTTGCAGTCAGAGATTGCCGCTGTGCTCCACTATAAATCAACTTTTCTAATTACTGGTTGTGGTGTCTGAACAGTAGCAATTTGTTACGTGGGCCCTGGCAGCCTCCCACAGAATGTGATAAAGGAGGAAGGAGTGAGATCTAAGCAGATGCTTATCAGAAAGCCAGTGACGGTGCCACCATTGAGAATTGGCATGAAATGTATAATTATCCTGTCTTGGGGAATGTTTTACTTTAGTTATGGGGCCGTACGGATGCCTCTCTCTGAAAATACATGTGAGCAGCAGTTGTAATGTTCCTTCCCACGACAGGATCTCATTAACTACGGTTAAGCCCCTGTGAGGTTTGTAGACAAAGGGCTAAAACACCAAAAGACCCATACAAGGAAATTGTGGCTGCCAAAAAGGTAGGCTCTTCTGACAAAATCTAAGCTCCTGTATTAAGTTTAATCAAATGCTCAGTGTAAACTGTTCTACCTTTGCCCTGGTGTTGCAACCTGGCCAGACAAACTGCAGCAGCAAAGGTGAGAATGAAAACGATCTAGCTACCCAGGTCCATCTACTGCTGTCCATCTGAGCACCCTTCCCACCCAGCTCTATTTATTTAGAGCAAAAATGTCAAACCTGGGTCCCTAAAATTAGGCTCCTAGGCCAACATTTTCAAAGGTGACTAGTGATGTTGGGTGTCTAACCTGAAACACCTCAAAAGATGCTGATTTGCAGAGGGTGGGTCCTTAACAAGGCCCATGTGGCCCTCTAATTGTAACATCCTAAATCCCTAGGTGCGTTTTGAAAAATGTGCCCTCAATCCGTATTTAAGTCTCCTCTAGCCTGTTTATTTTGCACTTGCATAAAATTAAACGTGTGTTTTCGGGGTTTGTCGCATCCGGGCCTGAGGAACCTAGACCAAGGGCCCGTTTCTCAAAGGGCTGCGTATGCAGTTCCCCTGGAAGTTAATCACAGCTGTGTGTGGTCAGCACCTTTGAAAAATTTCCGGCGGCACTCAAGTTTAGAAATCTTGGCAGCGGTGCAGGCATTTACAGTGATTTACAACTAACCCGAACACAACCCCGAGAAGCTGCACTTTTTAAAGTCACCACAGTGTGTAAAACGAACAAAAACAGCTTCCCCCACACCCGGGATCACGGCTAACGCGCCAACCCAAACAGTGCCCCGCACGCTGCCTCGGCCCTGGGGGGCTTTAGGGACAAAATTCCCACGGGCGCTAGCGCTCCGGCAGGCAACAGGCTGCTACGGGGGGGTTCACATTCCCCACCCCGCCTCCCGAGGGCCAGTCGCGGCTTGGCGGACCAGGCTGTTGCAGGCAGGGGTGGGGAATGGGTCACGCCCCGAGTCAAGGCTCTGTCGCATCCCCCCTCCCCCCGGGAGCGGCCGCGTGCGGCTCCCGCCTGGGCTCCGCCGCTGCTGGAGGGGGGCGGCTGCCGGGCGAGCGCGCGAGGCCCGGCGGCGGGAAGCCGGAAGTCGCTGCAGCGCGCGGCGCCTTTGCAGCCGGCCGCGCGTGCAGGAGCGAGCGGAGCCGGCCCCCGTAAGTGCCCCCGCGTCTCCCCCACCGGCGGCGGTGACGGGGCTGCGGCAGCAGGGACGGGCTCCGGCCCGGCCGCGCTCTGGAGCCGCGGGGCTGCGCGTCTCCGCCCCGGCACGGGAGCCACCCCCCCGCGAGTGGGGCAGCCCCGCGGAGCGCCCGTGGCGGTGGCTCCGGACCCCCCGCTCCCCGGGTGCCAGGCCGCGCTGCAGCTAAGTCCTGGGCCTCCCGCTCTGCGCAGCCCCGCGGGCGGCTGAGCAGCTGCACAAAGGCCTCGCCTCTGCCCCTGGCCACGAGGGGAGGCCTCGGGCCCCAGGCTCCCGCAGACCCGAGGCCAGGCGGGATCGAGGTACGGGAGGGGCCGGCTGGGGGCCTGCCCCGGAGATCGACACCGACGGGGGCGAAAGCGTGGCCCCACCTCTGCGCAGGGGGGTATTTTTGGCCTCGCATGTGCTGGGCGTTAGGTCGCTGGTATTTTATCCGCTGGAGAGCAGCTGCCCCTTCGCTGGGTGAGCTCGGAGGAGCCGCCTGGCCCTTGCAGCTCGGCCCTGGCGTAACGGAGCCTTCTCGCCTTGGGGGGCGGCCATGTGAGCGGGCTGGGGCGGCCTGGCCCTCCCGTGGCTGCGCGCCGTTCAGGAGCGTGGTTCTAGCTGGTGTTGTGCTCGCAGAGGTCAGGGCAGTATTGCTTAATGTGGGCCCTTGAAACGGTTAATTTGAAGGTGTAGACAGTTGCTAGGGAGGCGGGAAATCTACCTGGATCGTGGTAGTTCTGTGTGTAGCTTTCACGGGGTCTTGTCTTATTTTTAAATTTTTTTTTTGTCCATGCTCTTAGTTTCACAGTGACACTCAGGCCTTGTCTTCACTGGGGTTTTCTTCCCTAGAATTTACCGTCAGTGGACACTGGACGTAGTACAAAGGTGGGCGCTCTGGTACAGCAGCTCACAATCCTGGAGGCCCCCTGGACTGCGACTCCTGGAAAGACCAGCATGCAATCTCAGCTGAAAAGTGTGAATAAGTGTTCCTGTTTGAGTCAGTCTTCGTAATCTGCAGCCAGACACTGTCTTGAGTTAGGGTTTGAATGAAGTCATGCAGGCAACCAGAAGGTCCAGAAATGTGTAGGTGGTTTTTTTTTTTTTTTTTTTTAGATTTTGAAATAAGCAATGAAAAGACTGGGCTCTGCTTCACCACAAGTCTGATAATGGCAGTGTATGGCTATCTAGCATGCATAGGTGCATCTATATTCTAATATGTAGTTCTGTTTGTCCTATTAAAGGCGCATATTTAAGAAATTGTGTGTTCCGGCCAAAGAGTATAATTTTGAGAAGTGCCTAAGTGACTTAGGTGCCTAATTCGTATTTTCAGATGTCACTTGGGAGCCTGAGTCCCACTGACTTTCAGTAAGACTTATGCTCCTAAATCATAGAAAATGTTACCTTATGTCACAACAGCATCTGTCTTAACTCTGCAGAGGTGGCGTAATCTCTTGTTCCAGGTGATTGCCTATCCATAACAAAAACGTGTAGGATTTATCAGGCATGGAGTGGGTTTAATTATGGGGGTAGTCTCAGCAACCTGGGCATAAACTGATCATAGGAAACATTTTGTGCTAATTTTACTAGAAAATTAATAGGGCAGCAAGGCACATAGAGGATCATCCCAGTAATTACTGTCTTATCCTGACAGGTTTCAGAGGAACAGCCGTGTTAGTCTGTATTCGCAAAAAGAAAAGGAGTACTTGTGGCACCTTAGAGACTAACCAATTTATTTGAGCATGAGCTTTCGTGAGCTACAGCTGATGAAGTGAGCTGTAGCTCACGAAAGCTCATGCTCAAATAAATTGGTTAGTCTCTAAGGTGCCACAAGTACTCCTTTTCTTTTTGTCTTATCCTGGAACAGGGAAAAATAAACTTGGTCAGGATTTTTTTTTTTAAACTCTTCTTTCTATCAAAAACCAACAAAATGTGTATGTTTTCCTTAAGCATGACTGAAACTGGCTAGAAATAAAATGACCTTAAAGATAGTGATGACAAGAAGCAGCCTTGAATCTTCTGCCGAGCAACTTCTGTCACCTGGGGAAGGTCCACAGGAAAGTAATAGCAGGCGCACAGCAACACAGTAAAAATTGTGGGCTCTCTTCATTTTTCCCAGGCAGAAGTGAATTATGGGCCGATTAGAGGAAGGAAGAGGCATGGGCGGGGCCTGCACCTCAACAATTCTGCACCTTGCAAAGTCACAGAGGGACCATTGAAGGAGGAGCTCAACTGAGAGATGGACCAGCCCCCCAGCTATAGAATAAGGGTGGTGCAAACCATCTCATTCTGTCCCTTCCAGCACAGGAATGAATATGCCTCTTTTGAACTTATCCACCCATCACTCTCTGCTAGCAAAACTAATCCCTGTATGAGCTACAGAAATAAATGCAGTTTTGCAAGTCGGTCTACCACCATAAAAGAGCTTGAAAAAGAACCACGCTTTGTAAGTCAAATTAATTCTGCTTAAAGGTTTGGCCTTTTAATAGCAATAAAACTGCATTCATCTTGAGACAGATGGTGACTGCTGCTCAGTCTCTAGCACCCTCTTGTGTGGTAAAGAGGCTGTGTGTGATTGTTAAGTTTGCTGTATAGTAAGACTTAGAATACCTTCTTATTTGTAACTGTCTGTCTTTATGGTATACATTCATTCTAGGCGCATCAATTGATGCGATCTGCCCGCATGACTTGTAGACACGCTGGACAAATCCCTTCTGTCACTTCAATGTCTCTGCATTGCTTCCAACAGTGGCTGCACTGGGCCCCTTGCCAGCTAGTATAGAAGCTTCTCTGACCTCACTGTTTTCTCAAATTGGAAAGGTAAGTGCTGCAGGAGCCAATTATTCTTCATAATGTCTATTGGGTTCTTGCTGTTGGGGGTGCATTGGTCCAGAAAAGCACTCATAAAGACCGAAGCAATGTCAAGGGGACGCTCAGACTGGCTTGGTGTCCATGCAGCCATCACTGCACCGTCTCAGGTGTTACAGTTCACACTAAGTTCACGCTTGTGTCCACACAGGCTTTTGTGAAACTCTCATGCTGTAGGACTAGCTCCATTCCAGCTCCACTTGTGGTAGCAATGCAGTGCACTAGTAAAAACCGGCCAGTGGAGGTTTAACCACCATAACCATGGCTATAACTCCTACAGCATGTGTTGGTGATGCAGTAGGGAAAACACCTGAGCCCTGTATACACTCCTTCTAGCACCAGTGGAGCTACGCTAGTGTTAATTCAACTGTAAGAGGGCAAAAACTTCTGTGTAGACAGGGCCTTTCCAATGACCGTGAAACCAGTTCAGTGAAATTTATGTGGTCAGCTGTTAGTGGGATGCAGACTATGGGTTAAATCTGAATATTAAATAAGAGTTTGTTCCGTTACTATGGTGCCTTCTGCACAGTTTATGTCTGTTTTAATATATCTCTCCAAAGCATAATACTGTAATATGGTTATCGGTGGTAAATATTATTGATCAAGTGAGTATAAAAATGCCTATGGGCTTCAAACCTATTGATTCTTTTATAGAAAAAAGGAGGATTAAGCAGCAGCTCCCAAGGGGAGTGTGGAAGGCAAGTGAGTTATGGCGCTGGCCTCTGATGCAGGAGAGCTGGATTCAATTCCTGGATCTGCTCTGAGGAGTTTCTTACTGATGTTCACTGGGAGGACTAAGAAAGAAGAGCCAGTGAAGTCATGTTGACTCTACTGATACTATCCTCCTAAATCAAATGGTAGAAGAACAGGGCCTGTCTCGGAGATGGAGTCAGGACCTACTTAAGCTACCAACAGTGACTGTTCACTTTATTTTGGAAATTCTTATGGCAGTTAAAGCGATGCTGCCAAGTAAAACATCAAGTATTGTAAAGAAAGTGCCCTTGTGTGTGTCTGTAAGAACTAATTATCTTGTTAAAACAGAAGGAATTTTAAAATTCCATTTACCTTTCACCAGTGGCATTGTGTTTTAAGCCTGTCACATTGCACGTTGTTAAATTTACACTATTGGCCTTTTGTATGTTGTGTAACCTGGATTTGTTTGCTTGTAGCATTCTAGAGCCCTTTAATCCAGGCTCCTCATCTGACTGGATGGTGACAGAAATGGGACAGAAAAAAGATTAACCAGTTGCAAGCTGTAATTGTTTCCTTAGTAGCCTTGGTTGGTGACTGTCTCTTGGACTTGAGATTCGTGCTGTATGTCCACAAAATGCAGTCTTTTAAAACAGCATCATTTGATGCCCTCAAGCGACGTTGTGTACTGGTGCTTTGAATTAGCAGTGGACAATTCAGATGAAATAGCAACAGTTACTGTAGATTGACTGGCACTAAATATTTGGTACCATTGGTAACAAAAATACCTAGCGCCTTAACCCTGGTCTACACGGGGGGGTTGATCTAAGTTAGGCAACTTCAGCTATGTGAATAACGTAGCTGAAGTCGACGTACTTAGATCGACTTACCGTGGTGTCTCCACCACCCTGAGTCGACTGCAGCCGCTCCCTGTCGACTCTGCCTGCGCCTCTCGCGGCACTGGAGTACAGGAGTCAACGGGAGAGCGCTCGGGGGGGTCGATTTATCGTGTCTAGACGGGTAGTGAAGACATACCCTTAGTGTGCTCAATCAGGGAGGAAGGAGACTCTTGCAGTTAAGGCACTGTTCTGAGATTCATGAGATCTGGAGTTAATCCCCTGCTCTGCCATAGACTCCCTGTATGACCCTGGGTAATTTATTTATCATTATTATTTGTATTATTGTAATGCCTAGGACCTCTGTGTATCTCGGTTTTCCCATCTGTAAAATGGTGTTGGTCTTACCTTACCATGGAGGGTAGTGTGGGGGTAAATTTGTTAATATGTGTGAAGTACTCAAATATTACAATGATGAGGAGGTGCTATTAAAAAAAAATTGAGCCACTTCAGGGGATAGATTTTTAGAAAAGAGATCCCCCTCCATCTGTTGGTTATAAATATGCTTTCTCAGTAACCTAATCCCATATTGTTGATCACATCCTTGTCATTCTAGAGTAATAGAGTAAAATATCCCTGTGAAGAACTGTGAAGAGAAATCTAAAAAGTAAAATTATTTTGACATTCTCTAAAATCCTAACACAAATTTAGTCCAAACACCAGCCCAGAGAGTCATGTGCTCAACAGAGCATTTATTGCATTTAAAGCGAGAATGAATCCAGCCTGCTCTTTAGCAATTACAGGAAGCTTGTAATCTAGTCAATTAAAGAATAAAGGAGTAGCTTTGGGTATTATCCCTGTTTCTCAGCCTCCTGCCAGGGTTTGTGGCCTTACTGTCATTTTCCTGCTCATCAAAATGGGTTTTTTCCTCCCCTCTTGCTCTGCAGAGACCCCCTCATGAACCAAAAGAGGAAGCTAACTGAGTATACAGTGACACTTCCTAGCCATAAAGGGCCACGGTCAGTGTTGTCCTACAGTCTTTTGCAGCTGCTATGCTTGCCCAAAGGGGCTGTACCTCTTGCCCCTGGTAAACAGCACCAGCACAGGAGCCTCTGGGCTTCTCTGGAAGAAGTTCCCAGTCCAGGGACATTCTGGGGTGGATCTGGGGCAGGTCAGAGGTGGGAAGAGCTGGGGTGGTTGTACATGCTGGCAATTCCTTCCTGCTATATTACCAGGAATACAAGTTAGGGTAGCCTTTGGGGTTGAGCCTAGCCTATGCGGGGGGCTGCACCATCTCCTAAACAGGAAGGGCACAAACCACCTTCCTTCAGTGCTGCACTTGTGTGAGGATGAATTTGGTTTTGTGCTGTCAAATGCACAAAGTAAATTGAGGCTGTAAAGAAAATACCGACGGAGCTCAGGAGATATTAGCCTTGGGTGGTGATGTAAGAGAAGTGAGCAAGCCGTTTTCAGAGAGAAGCACGGCTTGTTTTAAATTTGCTGGTGTTTTTACATTGGCTATTCTGACAGTGAGCCAAACTTTCATTAGCCAGTCCAGAGGGGAGAATTGGTTTTGCTTTATTCAAATAATCTTCCTGCCCAAAGGAATGGTTCGGGCACTTAAATCAATAAGTAAGCAAATGTTCTAACAGTACCATTCTTCTATCAAATAAACCTGAATGGCGGTGTTATTAGTCTTCTGTGGGACTGCCATGGTTAACAAGTAAAAACCCATTCTAGCTCCAGTAGGAACCTCATCCATTATTTTCAAATGCAGGTTTCAGTCTGTAGGGGGGCGAGCCCTCATTATCTTGTGTAAAGATGCACTGAACTGTCTCTTCTGCAGCGAGCACATGTGCAAAAACTCTGGGCTGGTGAAACTTCCTAGAGCTCAATAGATCTTGTAATGGAAATGGTGTCTTAAATACAGAGGGACGTGTTTAAAGATTACTCATAGTGGCAGCTGGTTTTAAAAAACTCAGGTTGCTTCTGCCTCTTCTTCTGCTTTATAAATATTTAAGCAAGCAACAAGCTTTGGATTCCTGAGAAAGATGCTTGGGCTACAGCCACCCGCTGACGTTTTTATTAAGCAAAACTCAGCAAGTTCATCTCCTCTGTTGTTGGTAACCTGGTAGCTAATTGTTGTGTATTTGTTCTTTTTTAGATGTTTCTGTGGCTGTCTTTGCCAGTCGTGTGCCATCCCCTATAGTGAACACAGAATCTTATTGTGCTCAGCATCCAATTCAATAGTAAACCAGCAGGCTTGCTCCATCCTGCAGAGTCATAAAGCAAGCAACACGATGACCTAGGTACTGTACTTCCCCAGGCCCCCATTGCCAGAGCAATCTGAGCCCCTCACAAAGATGAATCCTGGGGAGGTAGGGAAGTGTTATGGACTCTGATGACTGCTTACCAGCTGGAATATGTTCTGGGCCAGGTTCTTGATTGCTGTGGACTAAAGAATACACGGATGGTGCAAGAAAGTAGATCTGGATGAAAGACTCCTTAGGATGTAAAGCTGTTAGTGGTGAGTGGCATCATTCGAGCCTAGGACAAGGAGAACACCTGTGTCTGGATGGAAGCCAGCAGTCATTTAGTAGGCCTATTTTGGGAAAGCGTCTCCTTCTGCCTTAAGTGACATGGTTAATGCTGCCTCCTTAATACGTCTCGTATGTTGTCTTTTGTTTTGTTTTTCTCCTTCCAGATTTTGATTAGTTTTTCCTTCAACATGGGAGAAGATGTCTGATTGTGGAGGACTCTTAAATTTGGCGGATAGGAGCATAACAAGGTCCAATGGCTGGAAGTTGAAGCTGGACAAATTCAAACTGGAAATGACGCACTTTTTTAAGTGAGGGTAATTAGCTATTGGAAGAGCTTTCCAAGGGATGTGATGGAGACCCCATCACTTGAAGTCTTTAAATCAAGATTTAAGAGACAGATTCTCAGCTGGTGTAAATTATCATAGCTCTGAAATCAATGGAACGAAGACAGCTTGCACCAGCTACGAATCTGGACCTGGATGTCTTTCTAAAATATGTGCTCTTGGCCAACCGCAAATTATTTGGCTTAATGCCAGAATTACTAGGTGAAATTCTCCAGCCGTGTTATACAGGAAATCAGATGATCACAATGGTCCCTTCTGACCTTAGAATCTGTGGGTTGTTGCTAGGATAAACGCTAAAAGGTGATACTGTGCCTAGATAGATTAGTATTACCAGACATCTTCAGAGAGGAGCTAGCAGCAGTCATTGCCTTCATCTTAAATTGTCAGCACCCATCTGAATTGTTTCTCTAACTCCTGTAATGCTGGTATCTGGTTTTTCAAGGTGTATATTTATTCCTATGGAATGTGTATTTTACAGACTTGTTTCATTCTTGGAGCATTCTCTGGTATGTAAAGCTGTACCAATTATTTTGTAATATGAATACTAAATAAATCTGCATTACTGCATCTCAGCTAATTATTCTTGATTTATTGTAAATGGCTTTGATGCACTTGTGAAGCTACCTAAAGCTGGAATCCCTCCAGGTCTGACAGCTGGAATATAGAAAGCACACTTTAAGGTACTGGAAGGCCTGATGTTATTCCTAAGTGAAGTCCAAACAAATAAATTGCAACTGAAATCAAATGTTGGGTCAGAGTATTTCAAACCTGGGTTGGGGAGCCCTCACACCAAGGGCACAACATCAAAGACAAGCTCCTCGATTCTATTCCCCCTTGCTGCAGTTGTGAGGTGTGTAAGTAAGAATAGATTTGTGAGTGGCAGTACAGTTGGCATCTAAGGATGAGTGTGGCTAGGTAGCGCATGCTAAAAATGATGCCTGCGGCTTTTATTTGCAGGCAGCATAGTGCCATGAAGTGCTAGTCTGCAGTTTTGCTGAAAAACTGAATGAGAAGCATGGGCATTTTGTAAAATGTTTAATGACTGAGCGTATAATGCATGGTTGATTATTTCACAAGGCCTCAGTTAGAGGCAAAAGCTGCCGATTCACTTGAGAGTGAGACATATTTGATTATCTTGTTTCATAGACTTCATGCAGCTGCAAAATACTTGACTTTAAGATTAGCTTTATGGTATTTGTGTAAATTATGAGCATGTTTGGCTTCATCTGACAACTGTGTGGTGATTAACCCCTTTGCTTTTCTGGTCATCTTTGTACAGCTCTTTCCTAGCTCTTTGTTAAACATAAACAAGAATAGAAATCACTTGCTTTTGTGTAAGAAACGATCGTCAAAAGATACTGGAGTTCCTTGTGCATAAAAGCAATGCAGACTGCCATCCTCACTCTGGGTACCTCTGCATTTTAGCTGGTAGGTGTGCATGCATTGATGTAGCAGGGGTAACACGGATGGTGCCTCAGGCTAGCCACCTCATGACATACCCAGAGTGTCTGGGTGGGTGTGTACTTGAGTGTCAAGCCTGAGTCGCCGCCCGTGCTCCCCCAGCTATCCTGCTATGTTTTAGTGAGTTAGCATGGATATATCTACACGAATAGGGGGTCAAAGCTCAGCTCATGCGATCACCTCTAGAAAGGTCAAGGAAGGTAAATCTCCATGCCTGTTTAGAGATTGCTGACAATGGAGCTAAGTGTGATGGCTCTTGTGATCTGAATTTTTCTCCACTAAGAACAGGGCTGACCCTACTGACTAACTTCCCATTGACCAACTGCTTGTCATTATTAGCTTGGGCTGGATTCAAACCAGTGCCTTTAAAAGGAAGAGACTTCCGTTTCCCAGGATCTCAATCCCTGGAGCTATTTCCTCTCTTTCTGTGAACAATCACAAGCTTATAAGGGTATGTCTACACTACAGGTGGGACTGAGCTCCCAGCTCAGGTAGAAATATTCCTGCTACCTAGACCTGAGAGCATGAGCTCCAGCCCAAGCCACAGTGTCCACACTGCTATTTTTAGTGTGCTAGCAGGAGCCTGTCCTCCTCCAGTGAGTGAGAAACTTTCTGAGCTTATGAAGCCTCTGAATGACATAGGACAGATATCGCGGTCTGCAGGCTTGATTCTGCAAGCCTTCAGCTGATGGTGCCTTCCATAGGAGTTCTGCATGCAGTATTGGGCCTTTAATTATTCGCTGAAGCATAAACAGTATGTACATAAAAGGGTGAAAGTGATTGTGATATAAGGCTTTTGTCAGTTTGTTACGCACAGATGTGCCATACTCAGCAGCTGCCACTCAAGCCATAGATCATAAAAGAGTAATAGATGTGGGCATCGCAATGCCATTACATATCCTTAGGAACCCAGGCTTTTCTAAAGCAAAACAGGGGTGCACGTAATGTTGGAAGTGACTGTTGAATGTATAAAGGTGCTGTGCAATATCCAGATTAAAAAAAGACAGTTTCCAGTTGTCGTAGTCCAGCAGAATGCCAATCCTCTTGGGGGGAATTGTAATCCTAATGTCTGGCGTTGTCCCACTGTGCAAAAATTCATACTTGTGCCTGCAAATTAAAATAGGAAGAAATGAACAATTGTCTGCACCCTGCCCCTTGTAGAGGGAAGCTGCTTCCCACAGTGTATGTACAGCCCTGCCTCACCCACAATGTACAGACAGCCCTGCACCACCATCCCATTCTGCCCACAGGATAGCTGTGGGCAGCCCCACCCCACAATGTATGGACCGTCCCTCCTTGCACACTGTGGGTAGAGCAGGGCTGTACATACACTATGTACAGACTGTCTCACCCCACCCACAGCATGAACAGTCTCTTTAAAATTGCAGACCTATATAGTTATCCGCTGCAATCTTACAATCTTTACACAGGCCCAGATTCTCCCCATCTGGGAAAAATCAAGGTGGGGGGCTATGACCTCTGATGTTTTTCCCCCATCCCTACTAAATGCGCAGGGGTTTGGCCTCAAATGAGCGGCTGACCTGAGGTGCAATAGGCATGTGTACAACTTCAGAAGCCGCCCCCTCCATACAGGAGTTATGCGGTACCAGCTACTTTTCCTTCCAGCTGCACAGTAGAATCCACTAGAAGTTAATCTTGCTTAGAGCAGCTTTATCCCCTGCTCAGCTCTGCAGTTGGATAGCTGCAGGCTCTGGCAAGGAGCATGGTCTAAAGAACCACTGTTGTGCTACTCCACCCTCTCTAGATCCAGCCCTATTATCCCCAGATCCCAAGTCCTGTAGAAGGTGCTCCAGGGATGTAGATGATGCTGAACTATGTTCCCTGCTCCTTTGGGGGTACTGATATTGCTCGCTCCTATTAGCAGATGGAGGAATTTCGCCCACTGAGCAAAGATTGTCTAATTTAGTGGAGGGGTTGATGGCATCCAAAGTAACTAGCTCTGGTTGTAAAGCTGTATTTTCTAAATTGCATCTCTGGCCACTTGTCCCAAAAGAACTCCTAATTTAACCAGAATGGTGCTGCTGAGAAAACCCACTCAGTTCTAGCTGTGCATATTCATTTACTAGATGATGATCTCTTTAAGTCATGACTCCTGAGATACAACTAAAAATCACAAGCAAATGGTGTTCTGATTTCAGTGCTTACTGAGTCAGGTGTTTGTAACGAAGTCAGACCTTTTCTCCTCCATTAAGTCACATTCAAATAAAGGAGACTTCCTTTAACAGCTGCTCAGACACTTGTATATCAGACCCCCAGTGCAGAGCGCTGCACCCAGAAACACAGGCCTTTTAACTGTCGAGATTGAGAGCACGCAGCCTTTGTTCCTGTGGGAGTACTTTGGAGTGAAATGGGAACTGTTTTTCAGTAGCAGCAGTGAAGTGATGCAGCATTTCAGAAGGGACAGCTTCTTCTCTCACCACCCGCTCCTCCCAGCCCATTCTCGAAGGCAGCCTGCTTTCCCTAAGTGTTCCCAGAAGCAGGGCCTGGAAGTGACTCAGAAAGAGCCTTGCCCATGTCAGTTTATCTTCCCACCCCCTAAAGTCTTTATTCATGAGATTCCTCCAGAGTCACTAACTGCACGTATTAGCCACATTTAGCAGGGAAAATCAAACTAGCCTCCTTGCAGGAGCAGAAGAGGTAATTTGGTAGGTCTGGCCTAAGAGTGAGCAGCAGCCCTTTCTGTGTGAGAGGTGCTCGCCTAGCTGGGGTCCAAATCAAGCTTCTTGTTCCATTGAATGGTGGTGAGCACGGGGACTCCCTCAGCAGTGGTGCCCTGGGCGAGGCACGCAGGGGGAATGCCTCAGGGAGTGCTCTTTACGCTTGCTGCAGACCAGTGCAGTGTGCTGCATCTCCCACCTGCTCATCGGGAAGCAAGGGTCTTGGGGATGATTTATGGAACCTGTTTATGACTTATGAATTCTGGTTGCTATGGCAAAGTTAAGTCTCAGAGTAACAGCCGTGTTAGTCTGTATTCGCAAAAAGAAAAGGAGTACTTGTGGCACCTTAGAGACTAACCAATTTATTTGAGCATAAGCTTTCGTGAGCTACAGCTCACTTCATCGGATGCATACTGTGGAAAGTGTAGAAGATCTTTTTATATACACACAAAGCATGAAAAAATACCTCCTCCCACCCCACTCTTCTGCTGCTAATAGCTTATCTAAAGTGATTACTCTCCTTACAATGTGTATGATAATCAAGGTGGGCCATTTCCAGCACAAATCCAGGGTTTAACAAGAACGTCGGGGGGGGGGGTAGGAAAAAACAAGGGGAAATAGGTTACCTTGCATAATGGACACAAATCAGATGTCAAGAATTATAACATTCATAAACCAGTCAGAGAACACTTCAATCTCTCTGGTCACGCGATTACAGACATGAAAGTTGTGATATTATAACAAAAAAACTTCAAATCCAGACTCCAGCAAGAAACTGTTGATTGGAATTCATTTGCAAATTTGATACAATTAACTTAGGCTTGAATAGAGACTGGGAGTGGCTAAGTCATTATGCAAGGTAACCTATTTTCCCTTGTTTTTTCCTACCCCCCCACCCCCTCCCCTGGCTGAAGCGAGTGGGGGAGTAGAGAGAGTTGAAATTCCCCAAGCAGCACAAAGAGAGAGAGAGAGAGAGGTCCCAAAGCAGGAGGTGATAGAAGGTCTTGCTGGGGGAAGACTCAGAGAGACACACAGAGGAAGTTTAGGGGCAGGAGAGGGGAAGGGGACAGACTGGCCAGTCGGAATAGGCAAGCTGGGGGTAGAAAGCTCTATGTTTTGGAGTCCAAGCCATGCACTGCAACAGAAGAACCCTGGATGGCCCCAGCCCAAAGAATGCTCTGGACTGGTGAGTAAAATGAGGCAGGGAAATGTGCGTAAATTTTATTATTTTTATATAGATCTGCCTGTTTCTCATGCTATTAAGGAGCAAAAGTGCATGGATTCCTGTGCAAAGTGTCTGTTTATTATATGCTATGCCTGTCATGTGCTGCCTTGAAGAAGAGGTAAACCAGAAAGCTCACACCTTCAGGTGGATTCTGGGAGACTCTGTGTTTACTCTATGGGGTGAGGATGTGTCTGGGGTGGATTCCATG